CTATGGTAGGGGGCAGTTTCCATAAATTTAAAAAAAAACAGAAAATGCAATAAATTTTCAATAATTTATTGCATTCTACCCCGGTCCCCAACATAAAAAAATCTTCTGTGTGCCCATGCCTTGAGCCATAATGCATGGCCGTCCAGAGGATTTTTTTATGTTGGGGACCGGGGTAGAATGCAATAAATTATTGAAAATTTATTGCATTTTCTGTTTGTTTTTTTAATTTATGGAAACTGCCCCCTACCATAGCCCCCGCTGCGTACAGTCATGGTTCAGTGACAAAGCAATGGCCTCGTAACTGTGAGGCCCCAGGATCAACACCGTGTCGATGTGCTATATCAGAGCCCTTTTGTGAGGCATTAATCCTCATTACTGTCCTTTATGACTTAAGGGCATAGGTCCCCTAGTTGATAAACAAAGTAGCATAATATACATGCTTCAGCAGTCACGCAAAACACATATTGGCAAATTATTATTCAATAAAATCTGAGACTGTATACTATTATCTAGATCTAGTATTTTTAAATTATTTTTAAAATAATTCCATGAATTGGGATAAACAAAAATATTCCACCGTTATGAGCAACAGTGTATTACAAGCGCTCGCGCGCACGGAAATTTATGTTAAACGGACGATCATTCCGTTATTAATAGTCATAAAGAGATAAACATGCTATCAATTTGTTTGTAAAAATATGTGGAATATTATGAAAGAAAAAATAATGGCGATTCTATGTTGTGCAATAGTTTTACGCGCGAAAACGCGCACGCATGCGCGTAAGCGCGTTTGCGCGATTTTTTATAAAATGCTTAGAATGGCCTAAAACGTATGCAAAATGATTTTGAGACGATTTTGAGCATTTCAACATTTTACGCGCGCATTGACGCGCGGAGGTACGCGCACGCGCGTGTTATTTGACCTGCAATTGACCGGACGGATATTGACCTTGATCATGATAAATATGAATGAGAAATACCTTTTGGTTATGAAGATATGATCATGAGTTGATTTTCGTAAAATTTTACAAAATGGCGCCTAGATGACGTCATCAGTGAAGGTCAACGTTGAAAACGTTATTGTGCTTCGTACGTATGCCTATACATATGTGTGCCAAATTTCAAGGCATTTGATTGAGCCATTTTTAAGTTATCTTGCCAACAAAAAAGTAGTTAGAAATAAGAAAAATATATAATATATAATAAATAAATAATAATAAAGGCAATTCTAACGAAATTATAAGGTGGTCTGTACGATATACAGCCCACCTGATAATAAAGGCAATTTTAACAAAATTATAAGGTGGTCTGTATTAGATACAGCCCACCTGACTAGATTTGTAATACTTGTTTAGAACAAGTATAGGTGGGCTGGTCCAACTAAAATTTGAGACAAAATGAAGGGTACATTTGAGATAGCTAATTGTCTCAGCTACAACATACTCAAAGTTTAGCGTAAGCGAAGCTAAAACGACGGAGATATTGCTCGCGAAAGACGGGAATGCAGAATCCAGTTTTGAAAAAAAGTCATGTCCCATAGAGAATACACGCAAAAAGAGAAATATTGACATGCCTCCTTTAATCGCAAAAATACGTCATGATTCCTTTGTCGAAATGAAAAATCATGTTCAATGCATTTGTAGAGAATTATCTCAGCTAAAACATATCGAAATTTGGAAGAAAATCAATCAATATTTACAGAGATACAATCAATTTTCCAACAATATGCTGTCATAATATGCAAATTGGAATTTTGAGTTCGGAGGCCATTATGATGACGTCATGAGTTAATTAAGGGTGAAATGAGACATGAAATCGTATTTCCAATTCATACTCTACACAATATGAGAAAAAAATTGTCACCTTACATCCTAAAGAGCTACAATGGATTTTGTATAGGCATGTTTTTGCCCATATATGCTATGTATTACAAGAGCTCGCGCGCACTGAAATTTATGTTAAACGGTCGATCATTCCGTTAATTAATAGTCATAAAGAGACAAACATGGTAATAATTTGTTTGTAAAAACATGTGGAATATTATGAAAGAAAACAAAATGTCGATTCTATGTTGTGAAATAGTTTTACGCGCAAAAAACGCGCGCGCATGCGAGTGTGCGCGATTTTTTATAAAATCCTTAGAATGGTCGTAAACGTATGTAAAATTATTTTAAGACGATTTTGAGCATTTTAACATTTTGCGCGCCCATTGACGCGCGGACGTTCGCGCACGCGCGCGTTATTTGACCTGCAATTGACCGGACGGATATTGACCTTGATCATGATAAATATGAATGAGAAATAACCTTTGGTTATGAAGATATGATCATGTGTTGATTTTCGTAAAATTTTACAAAATGGCGCCTAGATGACGTCATCAGTGAAGGTCAATGTTGAAACTATTATTGTGCTTTGCACATATGCCTATACATGTGTGTGCCAAATTTGAAGGTATTTGATTGAGCCATTTTCAAGTAATCATGCTTACAAAAAAGTGGTTAGATGTAAGAAAAATAAATAAAGGCAATTCTAACGAAATTATAAGGTGGTCTGTACGTTATACGGCCCACCTGTACGTTATACAGCCCACCTGATAATAAATTTTAAAAAAGGCAATTCTAACGAAATTATAAGGTGGTCTGTACATTATACAGCCCACCTGATAAATAAATAAAGAGATAAAGGCAATTCTAACGAAATTATAAGGTGGTCTGTACGTTATACAGCCCACCTGACTAGATTTGTAATACTTGTTTGGAACAAGTATAGGTGGGCTGATCCAACTAAAAATTGAGACAAAAAAAAGGGTACATTTGAGATAGCTTTTTGTCTCAGATACAACATACTCGAAGTTCAGCGTAAACGAAGCTAAAACGACATAGATATTGCTCGCGAAAGACGGAAATGTAGAACCCAGTTTTGAGAAAAAGTAATGTCCCATAGAGAATACACGCAAAATGTGAAAAATTGACATGCCTCCTTTAATCGCAAAAATACGACAGGATGCTTTTGACAAAATGAAAAATTGTGACAATGACATTTGTAGAAAGTTGTCTCAGCTAAAACATATTAAAATTTGGAAGAAAATTGATCAATATTTTTAGAGATACAATCAATTTTCAAAAAATATGCTGACATCATAATATGCAAATTGAAATTTTGAGTTCGGAGGCCATTATGATGACGTCATGAGTTAATTGAGGGTCAAATGAAACATGAAATCATATCTCCAATTTATTCTCTATCAAAATATGAAAACAAAATTGGGGTCACCTTGCAGCCTAAAGAGCTACAATGGATTTTGTATAGGCATGTTTTTGCCCATATATGTTATGTATTACAAAAGCTCGCGCGCACGGAAATTTTTGTTAAACGGTCGATCATTCCGTTATTAATAGTCATAAGGAGACAAACATGGTATCAATTTGTTTGTAAAAATATGTGAAATATCATAAAAGAAAAAAAAAATTGCGATTCTATGTTTTGTAATGGTGTTACGCGCGAAAAACGCGCGCGCATGCGAGTGTGCGCGATTTTTTATAAAATGCTTAGAATGGCCTCAAACGTATGCAAAATGATTTTGAGACGATTCTGAGCATTTTAAAATTATGCGCGCGCATTGACGCGCGGACATACGCTCACGCGCAAGTTATTTGAATTGCAATTGACCGGACGGATATTGACCTTGATCATGATAAATATGAATGAGAAATAACCTTTGATTATGAAGATATGATCATGTGTTGATTTTCGTAAAATTTTACAAAATGGCGCCTAGATGACGTCATCAGTCAAGGTCAAGGTTGAAAACCTTACAGTGGTTTTTCCATATGCTTATACATATGTGTGCCAAATTATAAGGTATTTGATTGAACCATTTTAAAGTTATCTTGCTTACAAAAAAGTGGGTCGAAATAAAAAAAATAAAAATAAAGGCGATTTTAACAAAAGTATAAGGTGGTCTGTATGAGATACAGCCCACCTGATAATAGTGGCTGAACAAGGAAACAAAGCAGAATACAATATATGCTGGGTATAATTACTTTGACAGTAAGGTCCAAACCAGCTATCCAGGCATTGTCCGTTACAATGACCCCTCTCTGTTTCGCAAGCCGCTGCAGCACAGTTACATTGCTGAAGACAATCCAAACCAAAGGTATCCCCTTCACACTCTGAAAAAAATAAAACACAATTCAAAAGTCATATTCATTGGAAACATCTGATCAATGATTATTATTGAAGACTAACGGCAAAGAATACTTTGGCTGGGTTCTATTGGAAATAGGGTTGGAAACTCAAAATTCAAATCATTTTAATCATGTGGAATCTTTCGATTTTCGTTTTTGTGAGTACGGTAAGTTTAACTTTAGAAGTAAAGATCTGGAGGGGTGTACAAAGACTAAAATCGACTTTAAGTTGGACTTAACTTTGGCAGGCGGTTCATGCCACTACCATAGTTCCTCTAACCATTCCTGACATTGTTTCTCAAGGGACATATAAATTGTGGTCACAAATCTTCAGAATTTACACTTTTTTGATAGTTCATTATTGAAGGAAAATATATTATCTAAAGATCATAATTGAGAGACTAATATTGAGAGCAACCAGTGGCATGAACGGCCTGCCATAGTAAAGTCCAACTTAGTGTCGATCTTAGTCTCTGTGAAACTTCCCAAGACTACTACAAATCTGTTGCATGCAATTCAGGGACCTCCTCTAGATCTGCTGTTCTCTCAATTACTAATTTCAGGTGGACAACCAACCATGCTGGCTGCAACTCTTCAATCTAAGACAAGAACGTATAGTCACAACTAGAATACAGATCTCTCTCTCTCTCTCTGCTACAGAATACAGCTGAGGATTGTGATGTGATACATTACTAGGTATTTTAAGAAGCTAGATCAGATGTTTGCTCCTGAGACTGTTGTTGCGGACTTTATTTCATCAAAGGTACGGGTTAGGGTTAGAGTTGCAATTGGGTTTTAAGGTTAGGGTTAGTGTCAGGTTGCTGTTGGGTCAAGGGTCGAAGCCAAGAACTTGGTTAGTGTAGGGTAATGACAGGAAACAAGTAGAGAGCAGTCGAGCAGTCAGATGTGTGTATGATTGATTGTGTGTACATGCGCAGTGCAGTGTTCAGTTTACCCTCGCCCCTAGTGAATTAGTTTGGTGAGGAGGGTCTCACGTTACAATTTTCAAATAATAAATGCTGACTTTGGAGGTCATAATTTGATTAACTCTTGAGGCGGAGTACATACAGTTTCAAATTTACCTTGGGCAACAGTTTCAACATGCCCAACAAAGCAGTCAATATTTGTATACTAGAATCCTCCTCCAGTGTATACATTATAATACTGTGTTTACTATCACAGCACTACAGTATGTACATATATCTGGTTGATATGACCAATATATATATATATGTACATGAATTTTCTGAGTGCTCATACATGTCTACATAAAACAATCCTAGTGTATCATGCACACTGCACCATACTTGATGTTCATGTTGCATCATTATGTAGTCTAGAGATAGAATGGAGATATAAATAAAAATTGATATGGAAAATTAAACACCCTTCATTGAAAAAATTGCATTTTACCTTGACATTTGACCCCGCCATTGCGTACTTTGTATCCTAGAGCACACTTCTGCTCAGGGCAGCCTCCAGTATCTTTATCACATGGTTTATCGTTCAAGCAATGACATTTATCAGTGCATTGAGATCCATAGTAACCGTCTTCACATTCATCAGGAACTGAGGATGATAAGAAAATATTTTACAAATCACAATTGAACAGGTACTACTAGCAAATATTATTAGCTCATTAAAATTAGATTGTGTCATTGTAACTAGATATTTCAATATTTCACATTATTGATTTCAATTATCACACATATTCTTGAATTTAACAATGCCTTCACTAGATAAATCTGTGTATACTTAAAAAGAAATCTTCTTCTTTATTTACGTATGGACCTTGTGGCAGATTAGCCTGGTGCTAAAACAACTTATCCAATAAAGTCTTCCAGCCATATACTACTACTCCTAATGAAAATAGAATATATGGGAGGAATCGTCCCCGTAACACACCTTAAGAAGGGGTTTTCTACAACAATACAAAATATGATAACTTCAAGTTAGCCCATTGACTACGTAATTATCTTATTCCACACAGGTATAACACAGGGGCCCCCGGGTCCTGTAGGCTATGAGTTTAAACAATAACAAATTAACAAAATGACAACAATTACAAGCTGCAGTGTACATTACATGTCAAAAAAATCCTGATTTATCTTATTTGGGGAAAGCATTTTAATGTCATATCATTTGTTATCATTGCTGATCATGACTTACTTTGACAGTTGTCCCCAGACCAGCCAATCTGACATCCACCTGTACATATTCCACTGTAGATATTACATGATGAACCACCGCCTGCACAGTGACATGTCTGTGAACATCCTGCACCATATGTACCACTAGTACAACCTGTAATAGAATTCAAAATGCAAAATAAAGATGGACAGCTACAATAAGTTCATCAGAAAGAAAAATATTGTGCATGTTACAATAACTTCTTATTAATTTCACTTCCTCCTCCTCCTCCTCTCCCCCCCCCCCCCCCCCCCCCCCCCCCCCTCCCCCTCCCCCTTCTCCTCCTCCTCTCCACTAGCCTTTAAACAAGGCCACATGCCTGATAGACGCCGAGCGACTAAAAAGAGACTAATCGCGAAAACCTGAATGAACGCCAGTGCGAATTGTCCATTCGTCATTCGGTCGCGCGTTCACTCCGGGTATCTAGACTCATCTCAGCCGCTTAGCCAGAGTCAACGAGGCCTTGTCAAAAGGCTACCTCTCCACCGAGTTGCGCCTAACCTTACCCATGAATCCAGCCACATTATGGTATGTGCTTTTGATATTCCAAGAAAAATTACATTTTTCTGAGAATTGCAGATGTACATGTACATGTATAATAACTCTTAGGCCTTCTAGATGTACATGTATTTTCACCAATATAATGCGAGCAGACTTACGTGTGGTACATGCCATGCCATGGGCACCGACGTCACATGAACATCCAAACGGATCAGGTAGGCAAAAAAGAATCCCAAGACATTGATTTATTCCATCAGTGTTATATGAACATTGAAATTCACAGTTCAATCCAAATCGATTTCCACCATCATTTCTACAAACTGAAAACAAAAATAGTTGCAATGTTGTATCAAAACCTTCTAGACTTGCATAAGAAATTAGATTTCATGAGATCAATTTGAAATATGGTTGCTTTCCTGTAATCTCCTTTTGCAAACTTCTGATGGTGTCCAATGCTCTTTAAAAAATGTTACTTTTACTACATTGAACAAAGCCCTCCCATACCGTGGATAGCAAAGTTTGTTGATCATACAAATTAATGTTATTGAGACATTTATTTAGTCATTAGACATTTCATATGATATTAATAAATAAGAAACAAGAGCAAATCTTTTCCCCTGCCGTTTTAAATTTTCATTCATTTTTGCAATGATTCACTTGACGTACAGTGTATAAACATTACATACATGTAGAATGAACCGCAGCTCTGGTAGAGAGGGACACTTTACAAAGTATTTACAAAGTCATTTTACGTTAAGTTCGTTTATAATACATGAAAGATAATATATTATAACAGATCAGAAATGTACTTGATATAACCAGAATGATAAATGATAAATAAACATCATTCTCGCAAATGATTCCTCGTAAAATGAAGATTTACAAGTACATACAATGTCAAAAGACATGATGTATAATACTATTCTGATTATATCTCATTGTCAGTTAGAAGACATATTGGAAATGAACATGTAGAATAGATGAACAATAGTGTTCATTTTCAATAAAATAAGACAAGAATATCTTCCTCAATTTATCTATTAGTAGATACAAAATAAACATCATTCCTAATGAAGTTCTACAGGCCTACATGTCCTTACTTTCTAAACAATTGGGTCCTTTGAAGTTGTTAGGACAGATACATAGACCAGACTTGTCATCACAGACTCCACCATTGTAGCATTTATCACAGATACCATAACACTCAGGGGGACCCCACTTACCAGCAGGGCATTCTAATATGAGATAGGGACAGAGAAAAATACATGTGACTATTAAAATGACATCACAACACAGATGAAAAAAGAAAAGCAGGGTAAAATAAAGTAGAAAAAGACGATTGAAAACTTTGTTACACAGTGATGTTCTCAAACATAGAACTAAAGTGTATGTTTCAGTGATCGATATGAATTCTTTTTATTAAGTCGATCAAGTAGATTGATTATATTTATGTTTAGCGCCATCTGGAGGCTACTAAATTCGTGTAAAGAAATGGCACCCTTTTTGGTTTCCAGTGGGTGAAATCCGTTGATATTGGAGGCATCCTTGAGTAATATGGAAGTTAGATGCACTTTAAGAAGGCAGAATGAAGGTATGTAATGATGTAATGATGCAATGTGATGAATGTTGTATATAAATGCTGTAATGATGCGATATTCTATGATTAAGTACCTTTCATTCGCACCTAACTCGTTGTGTACATTACATGGATGTAACTTACATTGCACAGTAGCCGAGACGGTCGGCTCACATACCGAATGTTATTGTTATGTAATGTACACTACGGCATTCGAATGAAAGGTACACGTATGCAAGAATGTAAACAAAAATTTGCCTAGTTTGAGTTAATTACAGAGATACTTGGGGTGCATAATAAGAGAAAGTTGTTATATGATTTATACACGTTTATATGGATAATTAATAGATGGCTTAGTTATAAAGATACATGCTATAATTATGAACAGAAGTGATACAAAGGATGTATGCCAGAAAGCCTGACTTAGTTCAATTAAGCATACATGTACTGGTAGTAACAAACAGTTAGAATGGTATTTACGGTAGTTTATATGCAGTACAAGTTAATGTGTGAGATTAGGAAAAGAGCTAAAACAAAGGTTAAAACAAGGGGTTATTTAGCTGTAAGGTGCATATTATTGATAAGAGTCACCAGGTTTTCTCTAAGCATATGTATATTGATGAACAGTTAATTAATGATCCGTTCGATCTATTTTCATTTGTGCAGTTTTTACGGAACATTTAGAGCAACGAGTATTGGAACAATAAAGAAATGACCAATAAACAAAGTCAAAGATGCAACCGCTACAGTGTAGGTCATTGGCTCTGTCATATTCTGAATAAACATAGGGGCAATTTTAAACTACCTGTATGTACAAATCACATTACAGATCATGACATGCTTACACCTGAATTTGTATATCATTTAAAGTTTCATAAATCTTTTGAAATAAAATTTGCAAAGGGGAAAAAGCTGTGTATTGTACAATAAGGTGCCATTCCATAAGGTCAGACTTGGTCATTATCTACCTGAATACTCTACACTAATATTTTCCAGAAATGTTAACATTCCATATATTCATTAAAAATGAAATATAAATGAATATATTATGTAAATATCATTATCCACATGTAACTTGCATAATCCAATATAAAAAAGTAAACAAACGTAAATATGAAGCAAAACTTTTCACATGCCCCTCTCAAAAAGCTCAATCTGAACTAAGCAGGAAAACACTTATACATATACCTCTGACGATGAGCCTGTATAGTCCTCCTCTATTTTGATTCCTCTCGTTATAATAGTAGATCTCATAGATTCCTTGGTCTGATGTCTGGATTGGGTTTGGGAAGCTGATCTGAGTCTGCCCATCAAATGATGTAAGAACCTCACTTCCATCTTTCATCCAAGTAATCACATTGTCAACCTCATCAGGATTATTAAGACTAGTCATGCTGATCATCACTTCAGTGTCATTCACATTGACTGTCTTTGTAAACAAGTCATCCCTTGAATTGAATTTAGCTGTTAAAAGGGACAATAACGATAAATTAACCAAATAAAAAACAATTACCTTGAAGACATTACAGTTCATGCAGCACCTACAGGTCAAGCGCGACTCATTAAAAGAAACCAGATGCTTTTATCATTTGCATATATATATTTAAATAAACCTTTTTCTCTTGATATTTTTCAATCACAAGATTCTAACATTTCCAAAATTAGAGCACATCAAATATTTTGATGTGTCATGTCAAAATCTGTTTGGACTTTCCTTTAACCATGTAAACAACATCATCACAAATGGATTTTTTCAGGCTTAACTCAATAGCATGCATGCTTTGCATACATGATACAAGTTTTGTGCTATTTACATGTAAATCAACAAAATTACAACAGAATCCTACTTTAGAATCTCTAGATTCATTCTCATTATACATGTGAAATGTTAAACCTTTTTTATATAGCCATTAATTAATCTTCAACGAGTGAAAGCATGATAAGCAGAGCCATTTTATTGATTCACTCTCGCTCCCGATCCACATTAAACCGTCAAAATTGCGGTATAAACTCTCTGCTGTACACAAACTTTTGCACAGTAAAGCTACAGTCCCATATACGTCCCGGACCGTCCCGGACCATCCCGGACCCCATCCGGGTTGATCCGGGATTGGGACCGTGTTGACACCGTGTTGGCACCGGGGTGGTCCTGGATGGTCCTGGATGGTCCTGGATGGTCCTGGATGGTCCTGGGCGGTCCGGGAGTCGACCCCGGATGTTTTTGACGGTCAAAAACTGCCGGGGTGGTCCGGGACGGTCCGGGACAATAGTTTGATCCGGGGTGATCCGTGTAGCCACCGTGCTGGGTCCGGGGTCATCCGTAGTGGCGCCGGGGCGGTCCGTGTTGATCCGTGGCAGTCCGGGAGTGAGTTATTGACCGCCCAGGACCATCCAGGACCATCCAGGACCACCCCGGTGCCAACACGGTGTCAACACGGACCGAATCCCGGATCACCCCGGATGGGGTCCGGGATGGTCCGGGACGGTCCGGGACATATATGGGACTGTAGCTTAAAAGCATCACACTTTTTTTGAACAAAACATCCCGGACCATCCCGGATCACCCCAGACCATGGTCCGGGATGGTCCGGAGTGGTCCGTGCTCGTCCGTGCTGGTCCGGCTTTATATGGGACTGGGGCTTAACGCATCTTTTTATTCCGATTATAAATTAACTATATCCAATGATAACGCACACAAAAAATGAATTGCCCAATGTCCCTCCTTCTGCTGTTATAAAGGGTCAACTTGAAGTTAAAGCTACAGTCCCATATACGTCCCGGACCGTCCCGGACCATCCCGGACCCTATCCGGGGTGATCCGGGATTCGGTCCGTGTTGACACCGTGTTGGCACCGGGGTGGTCCTGGATGGTCCTGGATGGTCCTGGATGGTCCTGGATGGTCCTGGGCGGTCCGGGAGTCGACCCCGGATGTTTTTGACGGTCAAAAACTGCCGGGGTGGTCCGGGACGGTCCGGGACAATAGTTTGATCCGGGGTGATCCGTGTAGCCACCGTGCTGGGTCCGGGGTCATCCGTAGTGGCGCCGGGGCGGTCCGTGTTGATCCGTGGCAGTCCGGGAGTGAGTTATTGACCGCCCAGGACCATCCAGGACCATCCAGGACCACCCCGGTGCCAACACGGTGTCAACACGGACCGAATCCCGGATCACCCCGGATGGAGTCCGTGCTCGTCCGTGCTGGTCCGGCTTTATATGGGACTGGGGCAGCCGGACCAGCACGGACGAGCACGGACCACTCCGGACCATCCCGGACCATCCAGGACCACCCCGGTGCCAACACGGTGTCAACACGGACCGAATCCCGGATCACCCCGGATGGGGTTTCGGGATGGTCCGGGACGGTCCGGGACGTATATGGGACTGTAGCTTAAAAGCATCACACTTTTTTGAACAAAACATCCCGGACCATCCCGGATCACCCCAGACCATGGTCCGGGATGGTCCGGAGTGGTCCGTGCTCGTCCGTGCTGGTCCGGCTTTATATGGGACTGGGGCTTAAAGTACACGTTAAAGATTTCTATTAATACCAAGTGCTTAAGATATTAATTAATAACATTCATTGGCAATTTAGTAATTTAACTGTGATTTTATTTAGATTATTCAGGTATTAATAACATACACTTACAATGCATTGTAAATGTACATGTACAAATCTTTGAATATCAAAGAAAAAGATATACATTCCATGGAGCAAATGAAATAGTTGTCATTATTTTAATAATTCAGTTAAATATAAACAAACTCTGGTCAGATTTATCTGTGCAGGTTTTAAGTAAACATGAAATCTGGGGGACAATTCAGGAATTTAAAAATTATCAATCACAATACTTTGTTCTCCTTAAATTGACATCATAATGACTTCACACAGGATATGCTTAGAACTTCACTTTGATGAAAATAAAGTATACATTTGGAGAACAAATCTTTAAAAATAAGAAATCCTATACTTATAATAATAATAATAATACCATCAAATCGTTTGAAAAATGTAGTAACCCTTGTAACATCTCGAGCAGGTTTAGAAGCCTCACAGTAGAAAGGACCGAAACCATCTCTATCCCATTCGGCTGTGGGGAAGCTGACCACTCTTATTTGTTTAGATGTCTTGTGTCGCACATCTCCTGGTGGTGATATGCCTGTTGTTATGGGTGCTGATCTACCAAATGATAGTGTAGCGTCTGTATCTGGTACACTGCGGTAACATTGATACTGACCACTTGATGTACCTACTTGGGTGTATTTCGCGGTCAGCACTGTGATATGAACAACCTCACCTGCAACATAACAAATACACAGAAATTCACTGTTGCTGGATACATTCAACTTTAGAGTACATCTCCCTCCACACATTCAGGCACTGCATTTGAATGGCTCAGGTATAATGTAAAAAGAAGCGTACTGATGTATTAGTATGCATTCAGAGTGCAAATATACATAATTATTAAAATCATGATTTTATTGCAGAGTTGTAGAACCACATCATTGGTACATGGAGCTGCAAAATAACATAACTGCCATTGAGATATTACACTTGTTATTACACCAAGTTCAGCGTTAGGAATAAACATGTACGTGTGTATGTGCACACGTAGGTACATTTTTACACGGGGAAAATAAATATTCTTTCACTTCCTAACCCTTTGTTGATCAGGAACTTTATTTTAATGCAACTTAAGAAAATATCCATACCAGAACTAATTACCCCCATGCATGTAGTTCAGAAACACTTTGGTGAAGAAGACTTAAAGTTAATTATAGAAATAGCTTTATCCTGAAACACACTTATATACAGGTACATATAACCAAACAGATAATTTTACAGTTTCAACTAGACAACTGCCAACTACAAAATAGCCACCTTTATCTGCAAAATTAAATTAGCAAAAGACTTGACAAAATATGGCAAGAGTTTTGATAGGTAAGTAACTCAGGATATCCTTTGTATGACATGTACATATACAAAATTGTTTGCATGTACAGTGAGTAGCCTTTAAAATGTACAACACACCGTAGAGCTTTTCCAAACAGGGAAAAGTACACTTTAACCAAACTATGATTATTTGTAACTGTAATAAAATATGATTATGACCGCTTCTGACATGACAGCAAGATGAATCAGCAAATCAGTTTCAATGGATTTCAGGTCTCCATTTTTAAAACAATTGACCTTAGTTTGAGAAAGCGTCTTGTGAAGTCTCTAGTATGAAGTGTACTGTTGTATGGGGCAGAGACGTGGACACTCACTAAAAAGGACATGCAGCGATTGGAGGCGGTCAAAATGTGGTGCTGGCGCAAATTATTAGTTGTGTCTTGGAGGGACAGAGTTTCGAATGAAGAGGTGTTGCATCGAGCTCAAGAAAGGCGGGTGCTGATTCAAACGATTAGAGAGAGACAGAAGAAATGGCTTGGACACATAATGCGGCATGATGAGGGCTTGATGCTCAGAGTCATAGAAGGTCGCATTCATGGAAAGAAGAAGAGGGGAAGACCTCGTAAAGGCTTTTTAGACGATGTAATCACATAATGTGGAGCAACAGGGTATGAAACGATGAAACGATTGGCTCAAGACCGAGGAACTTGATGAGAAACTTGGAGAGACACTTGATATAGAATTTTGAATGGGTCACTGAACCTGTCATAAACTGACAGATCACTATTGATGATGATATTCTCATTCTCCCCGATCTCCTTTATTTCTGTGAATACATGCCTCTCTAATCTTTATCTCTTTGGTTGCTTTCTCTGCCTCTCTGCATGGTCAATCGTTTGCCACACATGCAATTTTGCACAAAACAAGAGGCATTAATTGACAGAAAAATTGCTTTGAGCAACACAATGTCTATATGCAAAATTACAACTTTTTGGTGTGATTAGCTCCTTGACAGCCCTTTTGATTACAGTATAAAATTAATCTTGCTCTTGGAATTGTTGAATAATGCTGAATTCAGAGTGGCGCAGTGACATTGTTTACATGGCATGTAAAGAGTTAATTTCCTGCTAACTTCCTCTCATCCCGTTTGTCCTGCTTTCTCCCATCTTTCTATTAGTTCCCTCTCCTCCTCCCCCTCCCCTCCCCTATAGTATCCTCTTTTGCATTCATTTCTTCTCTTTCTCTCTTCTTCCATGAATTATCTTCCTTTGTTTAACCCTTTCTCCCTATCCTGTGAGCAAAAAGAAGGGAAGAACAGGGTGAACTGGGATGAGGAGAAGTCCTTGTTCGTTGTCAACATGCCAAACATTTTTCTTGTTGCTATTTTCTTGAAAACTATTTTCCTCCTATTTTCATAGGAGAAAAATGGTAAATACACACAAATATATTTCAGGTTAAAACAAAAGAGAAGTGAAATATATATTCAGAGTTTAAAAAAGGAAAAGGACCAAAAGATCGGCTGTGCTGTTTTTTTCGCATTAATTTGTTTAATACTAGTATGGAATATTTTGATTTGAACTTTTATGGAATAGTCTATTTCAATCATCATGTTTTTTGAAACACTACCTCACACAGATATCATAAACAATTTTGCAATTCCGAAATTCCCATTTTTGTAATGAATACAATTTTCAAAAATTCACAAATTTCCAATTTGTCATTTTTTTCTTCTAACTTTTACCAATCTGCTCCTTTGGTATTGCTGGTTCTTTTAGAGCAACTTGCTTTTACAGGGGAGGTCCACCCAGGCGCGGATCCAGGGGGGAGGGTGCGAGCGGGCCTTGCCTCCCCCCCCCCCCCCCCCCCCCCGAGAGAGAGGCAGAAGGAAAAGCAGGGAAAGGAAAGAGGAGAGAAAGGGAAAGAAAGTAGACTAGAAGAAAAGAAAAGAAGGAAGAAGGAGATCGGAGGCAAAAGGACTTGCCTCCCCCCCCCCCCCCATTCAAAAAATAAAAGAGAAGGAAGGAGAGGGAAAGAAAAAAAAGAAAATAGGAGATAAAGGGAAGGAAACAAAAGGAAGAAGAAAAGAAAAGAAGCGGGATATCAGTTGCAATTTTCCCGCAAACAAGTTTTGGATCGGGGGGGGGGGGGGCAAAAGGCCCTTGCTCCCCCCCCCCCCCTCATAAAAAAGAGAGAAGTAGGAAAAAGGAAACAGGAGAGCTGAAACAGGGAAGGAAAAAAGAAAAGAAGGGGAATATCAGTTGCGGTTAATCCCGCCAACAACGTGTGGAGCGGGGTGGGGGCCAAAAGGACCTCCCCCCCCCCCCCCCCCACCCTAGCAAACCTACAGAGAGAGAAGGAGGAAGGGAAGGGAAAGGGGAGAAGAAAAAAAAGAGATTGAAGAAAAGTAAGGGATATCAGTTGCAATTTTCCCGCCAACAAGGTGTAGATGGGGGGGGGGATTGCGTACTGATGGGGGGGGGGGCACTCGCGTACTGATAGGGGAGGGGGGGATTGGGGATATACAATTCAAACGTGGTTTATTTCTAATTTTATAACGGTGATTTACAAATAATGCTGAAATGACATAATTTTCCGAGATTTTTCCTCACTTTTGAGTAAATTATATTTTGTTATGCGTTTGTTGGAAAATGACAAATTCCTAAATTTACAGCCAGGCAAGAAAATGCTTCTTGAGATGCCTACATGTCAGGGCCCGCGGAACGGCGGGGATCGGGTGCCTCGAGCCCCCCCCCCCCCCCCCCCCCCCAACTTTTTTTGAAAAAGTATATTAAAGAGAAATAGAAAGAAAGAGAGCAAGAAAGAAAAAATAGTTAACTGCCAGTGTCACAAAATAATGAGGTATCAAAATATGCTCATCTGACCGTAATTAAACGCCTAAAACTCCTGAGCTTCCGGGGGCATTGCCCCCTGGACCCAACCATGGGCCCTAAGGCGGGCCCCTTTGGTACTCATATGACCGTTATTGAGTGCCTAAAACCCTTAAGCTTCCGGGTCTCCGCCCCTTGAACCCCACGCCAATTGGTTACCTGCCAGTGTCACAATTAGGTATCAAAATAATGCTCATCTTACCGTAATTGAATGCCTAAAACCCCTGAACTTCCGGGCTCCGCCCCCTGAACCCCACGCCAATTAGTTACCTGCCAGTGTCACAATTAGGTATCAAAATAATGCTCATCTTACCGTAATTGAATGCCTAAAACCCCTGAACTTCCGGGGCTCTGCCCCCTGGACCCCGCCTAGGGCCCTAAGGCGGACCCCTGAATGCTTATCTGACCGTAAATTATTGGCTTAGACCCTTGAGCTTCCGGGGGCGGACAAGGTATCAACAAATGTTCATCTTCCCGCAGGCGCGTAGCCGGGGGGGGGGGGCGTTGGGGTGGTCCACTCAAAAACGGAGGGGGAAAACAGAATTCAGACGAGGATTATTTTTGGGAACGGTACAACGAATCATTTTCTCTCTCTAATAATTTAATGAAACGTCAAAGCTTCCTTGCTTCGCGGAGAAGGGAGGCGGAAACTCGCCCCTCCCTGCACCCCCCCCCCCCCATTACGTCACTGCTGGTCACCATAGATTACGTACCAATATTTGGCTCGCAGAATTTCAAATTTGGGCCTCCCCCCCCCCCCCCCCCCCCTAAGAAATCCTGGATCTGCGCCTGGGTCCAACCTGATATTACGTTGATGTTAATAAGCAGGGGAAGTGAGAGAAAGCAATAGCAGATTAAAAATAGGAAAAATGTGAGGTTGTGGAGGTGCAATCAATTAAACACCAGTTGGCAACTGGATTTTCCCTTTAATATTGGATTCAGACATGTAAAAACATGCACCCCATACCAAATCAAACTTGTTTAGATATTGTTAAAAATCTTAACTTCCTTAACCCTAAAAAGGCCGGGCTATTTGAGGTCTTAGTACGGCCGGGGGGGGGGGGCATTATGGCCGCTCCTTAAGATCTCGGCCGCGAAGCAGCCGATCGCCGCGAAAATTTGCACGCATGTCAAGTGAAGTGTATAGAATAATATGATAATGTTTTCTCGTAGTCATAACCCCCCCCCCCCCCCCTCCAAGAAAAAATAAAGTGTTCAGTCAAATTTAAATTGATCTATATTTGTGTTTACATGATGCAGAATGAGGGTCTGTAGTTTTCTAAGATGGCTGTCCTTGATATAAAAGATACTTTACAAACATAAAAAGGGAAGTACAACCCAATATTACATATCAGTTATGATGATATTTAAAAAAAATTACAGTGGGTAAAGTGTAAAAAAATCTGATGAGATAAGAAATTCAATAAGGTTAACCCTAATAAGGCCGGGGGGGGGGGGCATTATGCCATTATGCCCCCCCCCCCCCCTCCACGATTTTTCCGATTGCTCGGGAACACATACGGATGGCGCGCCGCTCGCTGACTTTTTTCTTTCGAGTCTTGCGCAACTTTTAAAATATTTTTTTTGAAAATTGGACATACGGTTACAAGGTCACGTGACCTTTTGTCTTTGCATGTCAGCCCGAAAATCGTTCATTTTTGTGATTTGTGTACAAAACATATGGAAAAGTCATTTTTCCTAAAAACAGATCAAACATGGGTTATTGGGTCTTGTTGAAAGTTTAGGTGGTTGTTTTGGGAGTCAAAATAGTTGAATTGTAGTAAGAAATGAAATAAAACAACAAAAACAATGAAATACATAAGTTAAAAAAACAATGAAATACATAAGAAATTATCGAAACAAGGGATAACATAAGGAATAAGCTGGCTCTTCCAAATGTTGTTGTCGTATTATTATTCAGAATGGTCTAATGAATATATGTTGTGAAAAAGAATGCTTAAATATGAATAATATATGATTTATGGCAAAATCTCACTTCTTGATTTCCGGGATGCCAGGAATTGTAAGAATAGTAGAATACCTAAGTCTTTCTCTCTCTCTCTCTCTCTCACACACACACACACACACACACACACACACACTCTCTCTCTCTCTCTCTCTCTCTCTCTCTCACACACACACTCCCCTGTCTCCCTCTCTCTTTCCTCTCCTTCTCTCTCTCTCGCTCTCTCTCTCTCTTTCTCTCTCTCTATTTCTCTCTCAGTTTTTCTTTTTCTCCCCCCTCTCTCTCTCACTTATTTCATCTCTCCCTCCCTCTTTCTCTCTCTCTTTCTTTCTCTCTTGCTATCTCTCTACACCTTTATTTGTATCTATGCATCTCAATCTTTTCCTCCTCCCACCACCCCCCCCCCCCCCCTCTTTCTCTTTACTAGTTGAATCAGGTAACTAAATGAGCTTTTACAAAGCCAATACAAACGACGCACAAGGGTACATTAATATTGCCATACACAATGTAGGTTGATTTTTTTTCGAAAGTAGTTGCTACCATGTTAAAGGTAATCACTGTCTTATCAAATGAGCTGTAGGAACACAATTTGAACATGAACAAGTTTTTCCTTATACAAACTCCAAATGGCATGATTGTGACGATAACATAGAGTGAATTGAAGGCAGATTGTATTGTTGTTGACAAAGCATTATAAAGCGCTTGCTTTCAATGACAAGCTTGAGTAATAACAAATTTGCATTAAAAAAAGAAGGGAAAAGATCTCATTCAGACTTAGATACAAGTAACCTCTTGAACTTAAAGGAATCCGGTAACTTTGTCTTAGATCCTTTAAAACAAATCCTTGATTTAGCTCATGCTGCAATGATAATTATAAACCTTTAGGTCAGTCAGCAACCCCATGACTTTTACAAGCCGATCGCCTGTCTGATTATTAAGATATTTATGATTGAAAATCGAAATCAAATTTTGCGTTTGCCAAACGGTTTTCATAACAGTCTATTGGGGAAAACAAGTATGGTAAAACCGGTCATTCAAAGGTTTTTACTTTTTTTAGGCACTTCTCGATCATTTTGAAGCGCCATTGTTGTAGGGCTTCAATATAACACCATATAACAAACACTGAGAACACGTATATAGGGCCGTGCATCTCAGATTTAGCTTTGTTAAACGATCCCTTTAGTATCAGTAGGGAAGCAATGAAGCGATTGTAATGATACCAAAGAACAAACACATATCAGCGTGAAAAAATCAGGGCTAGAAAAATCAGATTCCAATTGCAGTTAATGAGCTTGAAAAGTCGCTATATACATGTATGTACACTATGAGGAAATAAAAGACGAAGAGGATGGATCAAGGCTCAAACCATATCTTCAAGTTTGGTCCTCATACCCTCCCCGGCAGCGATCTTCCAGGAAGCGTCCTTTGGTAAATCAGTTGAACCGCCTATGCTACGATCAGGGGCAGGTCACTTTCTAGCAAGCATAAATCTCTGGAGTCTCAATCTGACCTGTTGCCATGTAGTCAAATTCAGAATGTTAAACATTATGTACTCATGCATGGGCGTAGACAACGGGGGGGATGAGGGGGATGCATCCCCCCCACCTCACAAAGTGGGGGGGATGGCATGTACAATCATCCCCCCCAGGTTTTGGGGAATGATATTTGCTTACTTAATAAGTCATAATGATGATAATAATAGTAATAATAATAATGATAACAATTATAATATTAATAATAATAATAATTATGATGATGATAATAATAATCCTCATCATTAATGTAATTGTGTTTATTGTTAGCCGCATTCACACGGTGAAAGCCAATTCTAAAACAGAATAGAAAATGAATGTGATACAACAGTATACATAATAATTCGTGACAGAGAGTACCATACTACTATCTTTATAACAAGTATTATTCAAACAAACATATATAATTATGTATAATCATGAATTGTTCAACTTCATGCTCCCACTATATGACTACTGATATCAGGACTGACTGGTATACATTAGTTTGTTGTTAAGCTTGCAGCAGCTACATCTTTTATGTATTGTTAACTATTTATTTATTTTTGTTTTATTTAAGATGCACTTTGTATTGTATGTTGATTGATGCATGAAGACATAAGTTTGAAATGTTTAAAGAAGTTTGTTTCATGTAAAGCGCAGTGTGAATTTACCCTGTCTTGAAATGCGAGATAAAAGGAACCTATTAGTATTAGCATTATTATTTGTATTAGTATTAATTTTTATTTGTATTATTATTATTATTATTATTATTATTATTATTATTATTATTATTACTATTACTATTATAAGACTGAGATCAAATAGAAGTAAATAATGCCCTAAATTGAAACGATGCAATGCCGTTATGGTTCCGATTTCTTCACAAACTTACAAAGCAGTATTGTTACTCCATGGATCATAGTGATACTGTTTATGTTTTTTGTATCTGTATGTTAATGAGCCGCTAGCCAATATCCATCTATGGATACTATGCCTGTTTCTTTGAGGTAAAAAAAGGCATAGTATGTACGTATTCATTATGCTTTATAATGAACAGACATATTGTTCAAAGTTTAATCGTTATTTGTTTGTTGTTTATGTGTTCTATTCACAAATGGCCACAGAGGCTGTTTTCATTCATAACCACATACCCCTATCAAGACAACAAAGACTATACCTGCGTGTACACAGTTGACATTGTTTTTTTTTTCTGAAGAGGTGTAACAGCAAAATTCACAGAGATAAATAAATACGTAGTGTGGTTCAATATGCAATACTATGTGTCAGTCCATTCTGTATTCGTATGCCACGGTGTGTAGATCTTGTCGATGTATGTCTGTCCATTCAAGGCGTAGTATGTGTGTGTGTGTGCGTGTGTGAGTATGTGTGTGTGTGCGTGCACGCTTGTGTGTGTTATTTTACCTCATTAAGTATGCATCAGATTGCACGATTTCAAGTTCAAAATTGCAAAAGCTTCCTACCGTGGGAGGGGGGACACCCCCCTCCCACACCCTCCCCCCGCTCGGTCGCTTCGCTCCCTCACTAGCGTTGGCAGCCCAGTCACCCCCCCCAGGTGTACGAACCTGTCTACGCCACTGTACTCATGTAACACCTGTGATTAGCACACTACCAACACTCCAATTTGTATCCTTGTTTAATACTTTTTAATACTTGTTATATCATCTGAATAGAAATGTAATTGTATTTTATCGTAGTTTTTACTATGTTACAGTTTATTGCGTGTACGTATTTGTAAACATTTTATTTCTTTATGACAATTATTCTCTCAGTAACAAAGCAAAAGGCCTTAATTTCCTTATTTTTTCGCATAAAGCTTCAATCTATTTTCTATATGAATTACTTTATTTTCAGTACACTCACCTGACATGTTAGAAATATCCTGTTTTTGTTTTTACAAAAATGTTTTTGTTTTTGTGTTAATGCTTTTAATGTTTTCATTTAAACATATAAATATATTTTGATACATTTTTCCCATTTTCTATGTTTTTTATTTATATATACAGGGGCGGCGATCCCGGTGGACGGGGGGGGGGGGAGGGGGAACACGTCGCCCCACTTCTCCCCCCCCCCCCACCCTCAATTTTGTTTAGAGGGGGATCGTCCCCCCCCCCCTAAAATTTGAAAAAATGCAAAAGGAAAATGTATAGCGAATACTGCCTAATGACTGCAACACACTTTTACGCTCTGGAGGCCCAAGAGTGTAGCGTTTAGACTAATACAAATGCAAAAATCTTCCAGCTCGGTCGCTACGCTCCCTCGCATAATGTCCTTTAGAATGTACAAGTAAATATTGTAGAAAATCTGTATTCCGTTGGTATCACCGTGATACCCACTAGCGTACTGATAGGGGGGGGGGGGTATTTGCCTCCCCCAAATAAAACTCAAACTTGTTTTATTTCTAATTCGATACCCGTGATTTACAAATGTTGCTGAAATGACATGATTTTTCGTGATGTTTCCTTACTTTTGTTTAAATTATAATTTTTTTTTGCGTTTGTCAGACAGAGAAAAATTCCCAAATTTACAGTCAGGCAAAACATATGGTTATTAAGAAGCCAACATGTCAGGGCCCACGGAACGGCAGGGCTCGGGAGCTCTGAAACTTTTTTGAAAAAGTATGTCAAAGATAAATAGAAAGAAAGAGAGAAAGAATAGTGGCATGCCAGTATCACAAATAAGGCATCAAAATATGCTCATCTGACCTTAATTAAAGGCCTAAAACATCTGAGCGTGCGTAGGCTTTGCCCCTGGACCCCTCCAGGGGCCATATTATGACGGGCCACTGGATGCTTATCTGACCGTAATTTAATGCCTAAACCCTTGAAATTTTTGGGGCTCCGCCCCCTGGACTATACGCCAATTACTGTCCTTCCAGTGTCACAAATAAGGTATCAAAATATGTTCATCTGACTGTAATTAACTGCCCAAAATCCCCCAGCTTCCGGGTGGACCCCACCAAGGGCCCCAGGATGGGACCTGAATGCTCATCTGACCGTAATTTCATGCCTAAAACCCCTGAGCTTCATGAGGCTCAGCCCCCTGAACCCCACAATTAGTGAATTACCAGTTCCACTAATAAGGTGTCAAAAATATGCTCATCTGAACGTAATTAAAAGCCTAAAACACCTGAGCTTACTGGGGCTCCGCCCTTGATTCCCATCGGGGCTTTGCCCCTAGAGCCCACGCCAATTTACGCTACACTCTACCTGATCCTAAATACTTTAGCCCCTTGAAAAAACGTTCCGCGGGGCCTTCATGTAACGCGTAAGAGTGGTGGTGACGCGGATTTTTTTGTTGTGCCCCCCCCCCTCTTCCAAAAAGAAAAACGTTTTTTCTCATTACGCCACTGGTGATACCAACGGAATACAATTTTCCTTCGCATTTCGCCTCCCCCCCCCCCCGGTCATGAAAAGAAATCGCCGCCCCTGTATATATATATATATATATATAATATATGTTTTTGAATGCCAACTCTCAAATCCTCTCTCTGATAACAAATAAGTGGCGTCATTTTCCAAGTAATTGTTAATTTTAAATAGCTACGGTTGATAAACGAAATAATAACAACAACACTAATAATAATAATACCCATAGAAACACAGGGCTACTACTTTTTAGACGCGACGCGATCACATGTGTAACCCAAAATAGTAGAATCAATAAAACAATAGATGGTTAACAAGGGTATGATGTTTATATACTCCTTTTCACTTCAGATAAGTGCCCCCTTCACCTCCTATAAATGCCCCTTTAAAATCATTTTCTTTCAACTAGTGAACATTTTCCTTTCTTATAAGTGCCCCATTTTCATTCACATGAGTGCCTCTTTTCATATTTGGTCATTGCCCCTTTTCAGGTGCGATAAGTGCCTCTTTTCACCTCTGATAACTTTCCTTAAACAATGATACGTGCCCATTTTCGTTTCTAATAAAGGACCTATCTCCTTTTCATAAATGCCCTTTTTCACCTTTTATAAATGCCCCAATCAAAATATGATGGGAGTCCATTTTCCGTCGACAAATGCCCATTCCCTATTCTCATGACTGCCTTTTTCCCCCTGGTTAGTTCCTCTTTTTGAGGGTGTAAGAAGTGCCCTATTTTCACCTCTGACAATTACTCTTTGTATTTTTCGCACTGCAACCTCACAAATCTTTAAAAAATCCTCGCTGGCTTCACTCCCTCGCAAATAAATATTTAGACCATCACCCCCCAACTGCAAAGCATGATGCTTAAGCAATATCTTGTATGGTGTCTAAAGTGAAGCAAATATTGTAATCACAATGTAAGGGTATATACCAGTGTCTAAAAAAAATGCATATTTTAGCTTTGAGATTTCCCTTTGTAGGTGCCCTTTTTTCTTGGTGCCCCCCCCCCACACTTTGGAAGTCGCTCGGCCGCCCCTGAAACAGACAGTTTGTATAAGATCAGGAGTGGACATTTTCTGTCATTTTGAGAACCAAATTTTGCATTAGTGATATTCTGTTCCATTGAATTGAGTTTCCCGCGGAGAGGATTCAGTTGGTTTAATTAAAGAAGGAAGAGAGTCAAATGAAAAAGCAAAAGCAATATGTTTTTCATTTACTAATGAGAACTATGTTTTTTGAGATCTCCTTACACAATGTATTGGAATGGGTTTTTCATGATGAATGTTGTTTGGAGACATCAATATTCATAAAATGTACGTTTCTATCACCAGGAAATAAAGAATTTTCTGTCTACATGAACCTTTCCTGGTTGTTTATTAATTCATTTGCCCACTGGTAACATAATTCTTTCACAAGTTAATATCCCTCACCATTGGATTTGTTTTGGGGTAATGTCTAAATTTCGTTTAAAAATAGATGATATCAGTCTGCATGGTAAGCCTACACTGCAGGCAAGAGTCAGGACTAACATTTAGCATGGTATTCATTTTATTACCACTCTTATATTCTCTGAAATGTTATCTTTATTGAGGGTGACTTGAAAAAGTTAATAACTTGGAAGGGAGGGGGTACAACCTGCCACACGCTTCTACTTCTTGGTTGATTTGATCCATTGCCGAAAATATTTTGGCACCTATCATCCCCCGACCACGGATACAAATCGACACCCTTGGATAGAAATAAAGAACGCACATCATTATGACCGGCAGACTGGTCAATAAACCTTCTGATTCTAGCAATATTCCTTAAATAAACATAGCCATACTACAGATGTGAGAAATATGGTGAGACATCGACATGCAAGAATCAAATGCAACGCCAAGGTTTCTTATTGTTTTTGAAGTGTGCCACCAACATCCAACTGAACATCTGAAAGAATGCGCAGCTATTAAAAGTACCTGATCTTGAGTAGTAGGTCATAAAAGTTCATAATTAAATTTTAATAGAAATGAGGCATCTTCTTTTCCAGAAAACTTGCGTTTTTTGGTATTATATTTATAATTCATTATAACCTTTATACCACCAATTTGCTCAAATCAATAGTCAAACATACATTTGCAACGAACATTTAACTCATCGCTTAGATATTTACAAAACCAATTTATATTTTAATAACGATGCAACCTTTGTTTGTACATCTAGCATATTTCTAACATATGTAAATCACCTTCTTGGATACTATTTAATAAATTTGACCTTTTAACCTTTGCAGGTCTCTCTTTCCATAGGAAATTTTAAAAATAACTTATCGAGCTCCTTGTGATGTGATGTATAACTGATTTTCGACGTTATCAATGATTTTCATATCATTATTTTTCCTTTAAGCGTGGGATTTCTCTGTTTCCATAGATTTAACAGCTGTTTTATTTTTAAGCTGTTTTTCTCTTCCGACCAGTTAATTTCTTAGCCTAGATCTTTATTTTTACAAAAATAAATACCAAGTGACTTAACATAAACATCTTCCCATAACAAATTTCCAATATTTGTTGGATCTCAAGTGTATGACTTTCTCTGTACATAGCACTTTAACAGGAATATAATACAGATCTCTGCTCGACAATTTCATTGTATGTCAGTATACTGGAAAAGGACATTGGGTTACATGTTACCACAGGCACAAAGTAAAAACCTTGGTAGTAAATGCTAAGAAAGGGAATTTCATCAAAGTTTGGGAGTAGAGCGCCATAGGGTCGCATGTAAATTGATGTAAACTACTTTTTTCACGGTGTATATAGGCCTACCTCTGTTTGTCTTTGATTATACCGTAACAAGGGGAGGTTTTCTGATAGTTGGATTAATCCCCTTTCCATGAAATATACTAAGACTATAACTGTGATGAGTAACTGTAATGCATAGATTGCTGGACACTAGTCAGTTCCTCATCGCGCCTCCGTGCGCGCCGATATCACACGTACAATACCGGCGCGATGCCCGTTCGCTGAAGTGAACTACTTTTTCAGAAACTTAGGCGGCGGGTTACACTTTAGCGGAGTTTTCACTTTAGCAGCTTAACATCCGCCCCCCCCCCCCCCCCTCTCTCCTGGAGATAAGACCATTATGATTTGTTATTTGTCTACAGAGCCCCGATTGAAGCATTGCAACGTATAACATAATATGCTACTTTGGGAATGTAAATCAAGCAGACAAGAACACATTGGACAGTATTGAGAGAATAGCACAACGTATAATTGGTAGTAGTCTTTATATAATCTTTATATAATATTTACGAGGAAATAGTAGAACCAAAAGTCGTTTGGCAGAGAATGTCCTACCAAAACTATGGTAGAAGACATACTGATAGCCACCTTGATGTAGAGAACTCAATAAGATTCAACACGGTAATCTTCACACAAGAGATTCACCCCCCCCCCCCCCATAGACGTCTTCGAATTTGCCATCGAAACAAAGGGAACATAAAAGAAAACAACTGAAAGGGAGTTTT